TTTCCACAAAACATATTTTTTTCCAACTTGTGCCAATACAGTCTTTTCCTAGACTACTGTTTTGCGGGGTTTTCTTTTACCACTTTTAGCACATTTTAAAATTTTAATTTCATAGGTTTTGAGGCCAAGTTACTGCAAGAGGCCCAAGTGATGTCAAAATTTACTGTGGAAAAGGAGCGAGATTTTTATTTTTGTCTTCTTGGGAAGTTTATGGTAGAGTGAGATAAACATCCAAAATAGTTAAGGTTGTTTATCCTGCATCACTTGGAAGACATTCTTGACATCACTTGTATACAACTGAGCAGGGGAGCTGCTCAATCAGCACTGACAGAAATTAAATCCAGATCCCTCAGCCTCAGGGCATACAGACCTTACTTCAGTGTGATAAAATCTGCTTCTGTTGGGATAAAACCTGAACTGCTCATACAGCTCCTCTTGTCACAAGCCAAATTTTGGTGCATAAAGGCTCCTCCGCCAGTTGTATTCCTTCCAGAGACACAGTCATTATTTCAGGACACTTTACCTCACCCTGACATATCTCTGTAGTATCTTGTGGCTTGCAAGAGAGGATAAATATTGCAAAAAGATCTGGTGCCATGCTTGTCCAGTGTAATGTCTTTACTATTGACCCCAAATCTGCAAGTCTTAGACATGGAGAGCTGGCTTCTGAAAGTTACCAGCAGGTAACTCAAGGCAACATAGAATCTTCAGAAATTTTTCCTGTTCTTTTTTGACTCTACAGTTTAGTGATGCCTGCCTGAAAGTCACCTCCTGACAGTAAGAGGAGGGAGACATGCTGAACACGAAGAGATTGGAAAGGTATTTCACTGAAACAACTGAAAGTGCCAGATTTGCTGTTGACTAGGGGAGAAGCTAAGAAGGGGTCTTGGCTGCGTTGTTCAGTGGTGCTGAAATCCATTTTGTCCCTTACCTATACAGCAAGCTCCTAGTTTTGGTAGTATATATGCTGCTCTTTGCATGAGTGTTGATTATAAAGATGTTTATTCCATGTATAAAAAGCTTGATGTGCCCTTTAAAAGCTGCTCTAAACCCACTCTGCAGGAAGGAAGCCTGTGAACGTGCCTTTTCTTTTCTCTGATTCTTATCTTGTGCACATATAAGCATAAGTGACTTATTGCAGTGGAAATATCTGTGATTTGCAGTGCAGGATGAGTTCTTTGTTGGTAGATATGCTAGTAACAAATGGGCTGAGGAACTCACTAACTGTCGTACTTGAGTCAAGGAAAGCTGGAACATGACTCACTTAGGAATGCTTTGTACTCCCCTAATTGCATAATTACCTTAGAGAGCTCACTGGCCATGTGGCATAGAGGGCATGCCTGTTTCCTCTGAGCACAGGAATAACTCCTCCTAGCTTCTCCTAACAGGATAAAAAGGAGATGTGAGGAAGACGAATGGCTGTGGCCCCACTTTTCCTCTGTATAATCCAGGAGCAGTATTTGTGCACAACTATGAAGTCCTTCATTCTCTGAAGTGAGGATGGGAAAGTTGACCATTACGTAACATAAATCAGTACTTTCACCCTTGTGCTGAGGCAATATCTGTATTGAAAGGGATAGTGTGATATTCTGGGGTGTTTGCTACTGGTACTTGTGACATCTGAGTTCTAATAAATGGGATTAAAACAAAGTGAGGGGGATGCTACAAGCACAGGAATCCTCCCCACTATACTCATATGCCATAGAGTTAATCTAACTGCCAGGCAAAGAAAAGAGAGACCTCTCCAACACCTTGTTCTCAAAAGCAATAAGTAAAAAAAGATATGAATAATATAAATGTTATCAACAATTACAATGATGCAAAGCAGATGGCAAGCAAAGTCAAGTGACCTGAATGTCCCATGAGAAAAATGGAAATGAACTTGAGTTGCATTAATGGAATTAAAGGAAGATTTGGCTGGAGAATTCTCCTGGACCTCTAGCAAACTCAACAGTACAGTTTTCAGTGCTCACCCCATGTATAGAACTGGTAAAGTAAGTAAGTCTGCAAAATGGAACAAAAGAAGAAAGAGAAATGAATGATATAAATAACTGAGGAGGACATATTTAAGTATAGCTATCTTTAGTCCCCCTGATGTTCTCTTGTTCTGGAGAATGGCTGGAATTTGTGGTCCCTCTTCTTAATCTCAATGTTATCCAACAGTAAATTTGGAAGCTAGAATTCTCCTTTGCAGATTAGTGATGGCATCACTATGTAGTCAAACTTTCATCCTGCTCTCCCCTCTGTTACACCTGTGAATTTACCATCCTTCATTGCACACTGATGCATCTTCCATTCAAAGCAGCTAAAGCACATCTTCTTCTGTCCCCCTTACAACCCACCAGCTAATATCCCCTAATATATAATGGGGTATATACTCTCTTGTCTCACCGGGCTTATGAGTAAAAATACTTGTGGCTGCTATACTTCATGCTGATGCTAATGCTGCCCGTGTGTTTTAGACATGCACACAGGATACCTACCTGATTGGCCCTTCAAGAGTTGTAGATGGATGTGAATCCAAGTGGACTGACGCATCTAAGTTACTTTATCAGTGTAAACTTTGATGTCCATGGGCTTCTCAGCTGTGTACTTGGATTGGCAAGAGTGTTTAAGATTACTCATTTGTTTAGAGGTTCATGATGGTTACTTAAATCGTTCCTTCTTTTTTATCAGTGTCTTTTTAAATAGTGGAAAGCAGAGCAGTTTAATGCTGACTGAGGCTGCATTAGCTTCCCCTTTCTGTGAGAAACCTCTGCTTAGAAGGTTCCCAAAGTGAAAGTGTTTGCAAGAGAAAACAGCTGGGAGACTCTCACATCCAAGCATGGCTCTGGTGAGTGGAGCTGTTCTTCTGATATAAAGGGAGCATCATTCTAAAACAAGAGAAATGTTTTGGGGAGAGGAAGGAAAATGAAAAATCTTGATTCCTAAGCTGAGAGAGAACTGGTCAGCAGTTTATCAAATCAAAGGGTAATGTCAAAGACTGATTCTGTTCTCACAGATTTATATCTGAAGTATGGACTTCATTAGAGCTACATCTAACCAAACTCAACTGAATTCAAAGTCAGGCTCTGGGTCCCAACTGCTTTTGTTATCAAACAAAAAGTAGGAAACGCCTCTGTTCTTTGCATGCTTTTTTGAATCATTCTTCTGGAGACTCAAAAAGTTAACATGCCATAGTGCGGGTGGCTGCCCCAGGGATCAACACCAGACAGAGTCTATAGTAAAGCTTCTTGCATTAGGATGGCGGCAGAGGAAACTATACAGAAAATGCAGTCCAAGAAAGAGTTCTTAGAAGATGAAGCAGGGATTAAGCCAGAGCCTATTTTACCATTTGCTAAAATGCTCAGTGCATTTGCCTTCATGGATCCTGCATTCCAGAGGACTGCATGCTGAGTTAATAAAATCTCTCTCTTGAACAGGCTTTGGAAACTCAGATGGTCACTGACTGCCCATATGGCAGAATTTGGCTATTGCTATTAGACAGCTGCAGGAAGCTGAAGACAAGAAAGGGGAGACAACACCGAAATCTTATAGGTACATAGATATATAGAGAGACACATGGCTTTGCCTCATGGCAGGAACTTCCAAAATATGTTCCTCATCAAAACGCCAGGATCCTCTTTTATTTTTTCCTTCCAGGAACTGCAGTTTGCACTTCTTCTTTTCTTGGTGACACATATGTGATTTAAACCCTCAGACACCCTGAGCTTAAGTTTCAAGACCATTTTAAAACAATTAGCACACCTACAAGAAAAATAGCAAAACACCACATTTCCGTTGCTCACAGACTCAAAGGGAGATTGAGTTTAGCATTCTTCCTTGGGGAAGAAATGACATGCTCCCCAGTAACCCAATGCCAAACCACTGCTCTCTGTTTTGAGTAGCAAATGCCATTCTTACTGCGTCTAAAAGGCCAGACTGTGTTTCTTTTCTTAACATGAAATTGTGTATTTTGGTACTGCTCTCAAACAACAGTTTAACAGAACAAAGGAGTTATCTTTATGAGACAGCCAGGGAAATACACAAAGAACAGGAAGATGCAGCTAACCTAAATAATGACATTGAAAACAAAATAGCTATCAGCCTATAAATAAACAATATGAAGTAAATATCATTATTTTTATTAACAGAAGACACAGACTTAATTCCTGGGGATAATGACATCTACTGCTTCCTCAGACTTTAGTTCTCATTTTTTTAGTCAAGCCACAGAATAACATTTCCTACTTTCCTCAACTTTTTACAGTATGAACTTTCGTACCACTTCTTTTGGAGAAAATTGCAAAACCCAGACACGTACATTTAGGAGAAAGGTCGGATCTTCTAAAACAATAAAATTGCCCAAACTGCTATTTTTGAACCGTGCAAATGCATGCATTCTTACAGAGCAGGGAAGTAAACATACACACGACTGCATTAATTAAGACAATGCTTAGTTTCCTGCAACCCAAAGGAATTTTTGTATTTAGACTAAGTCTTTAACGATGCAGTCTCCCATTGTGTGTATGTGGGTGTGCAAAGCAGCAACTGCAATTTCACAAAAAGGCAAGGGCTGGTCCTGCCCTGGTGGGTGAATGGGGAAGGAATTAAATAATCCTCTAAACCAAAGCCAGAATCAACTTTCTGAGCGCCAGACTCAGTCACTCTAGCCTTCTCACTTTCTGTAATACAGTCCTAAATGACCTGAGCAGAAGCCTGATTCGCGTGCTTTTTTTCCTGGGGATTGTCTTGTTGAGTATCTTGGGCAGGAAACTGGCCTGATCTGTTGACTTACAAGATTTAAAATAAGCACTCGTGTTTCCCCCTCCCAATCCTGACCAGCAGCACTGGGCTGAATCACTTCCCTGGTGGAGGCAAGAAACATGCAAGACCAAAGTGCTCGCAAACTGGCCGAGCGATTGGGGAGCGCTCTCAGGATGACATACAGTCAGCAAAACCCATGACCGACCCCGGCGAAACATTAGGGCACAGCACCGATCCCCGTCCCTCAACTTTACCTGCTGGGGGGTGAATGGCTGGGGGGGATGTCCTGCACAAAGCTCTGCTCCATGCTCGGTATCCTGGCCGGGTTGTGCGGATGGTAAGCTGTCAGGACCACGCTGCCCGAGTCCTTCATCTCCATGGTCATAGGCACATGTCGGCCCCGCTGCCTGTGACAAAGGCGTCCAGGGGGTGCCGACGGGCCCCGATGGGAGGGTGAGCGGTCCTGTCACGAGCGCGAGCGCATGGCCTGGCTCCGTAGCAGCCCCTTGCCACCGTTGGCTGTCAGGAGAGCTGTGTAACTGAGACACGGCTTCTCTCCCTGTCAGGAAAGCTGAATTAGCATATATTCAAAAACACCGCCCACAAAACAACCGACAGGGAAGTTACTACGTTCCTAGGAAACTAGAAACCTGAGATGATAATCCTGCACAGCACCGAGCGACTGCCAGGAAAACTTCCTTTCTTTCTTGTTTCTTTTTAAGAGTCAATTTCTTAATACTTCTCCTGCTCCTGAAATAAGCTCAACTAAGTGAAATTATCTGCCAGCTAAGCAGCAGAATGAGTGGAGAGCACTACTCAAACACAAAACATGGTTTGGCGGAGCAGGGAGTGACATTTAAGCTGCTTACATGAGAGATTCAGAAACTGAGTAGGCTCTGCTCTGTTTAAATAATCACGGAGCAGGAACCTTGATTTCCTACATGCTGGATCATTTCTGTGGCAGGGAACTGCGCTTGCTTTCTTCTGAAAACAGATTAAGTTTTCGTTTTGCCTGATACAGCTGTGTACATAATGAGAAGGGCACTGGGAAATGAGTGAATTATTTTTACAATAGTGTGCGTTCATCTGGAGCAATCCTATAAATAAATACACTCTGAGGCGCTTGATATTTTTTCATTCTTGTGCTTGATCTTTGTATGCTAATTGAATGTTTTTCTCTCAAAAGGAAACCAGCAAGCAAAATTATTGGGGTCCAGCTCTGGAGTAACACTCAGAGAAAACCTGGTGGGCAAAATGAGAAAACTCACACAGCCCTTTATTTTCCTCTCCCACTTCTTCAGTGTTTGGGTTTTTTTAAAAAGAAATGTTTCTGATAAATGCCTATTCCTGAAAACTATTGTCCTGCCTATGAAATCATGGGAAGGATGTCCCCAATTTTACTCTATGAGCCACCACTCTCTGAGCTCCTTGTGAGCATGTGGGTGAAACAGCAGTCTCTGTGCACCTTTGTCAGAGCTGAGGCCAGTGTCCCCAGTGCAGGTACTGTGCAAAATGCATGTCAGGCTCCTCTTCCACATCCCCCTTGAACGAAGGTTGTCTCACTAGCATTGCTATAGGGCTGCCTAAATTGCACTGTCGGTCTCTCCACCTAGCAAAGTAGCTCAAGTTTTGAAGGGCACAAAAATGATTAATCTCATCTCCATCTTCCCCCTGAGCTCTATATCATGCCTGAAGGGGCAGGACAGTTTCAGTCAAATATGTTGCTGCGACTCATGTAGGCAGTGCCCAAGTTAATTTTAAATTAGCCGGCATAGGACACTGATAACAGTACACTTGGCAGCACTTCTTGCAAGACTCACCCAGGAAGCACAAATATTTGAACACACAAAGCCTCTAGGCTTGCTCTTGTTACACTGTTAACATGTCCTGGATTAAATATTTTAAAGCCAGGTTGCACAAGATAAAATCATGGTTGCTTCCATGGCAGCTTGAAGGCCGTCTGGGAGCCACCATGCAACCATGTACATATGTTAGCAATGAAGGAGGAGGCTCTAAGCTAACTTTGGAAGCATTGCCTACTGCTCACAGCATCAGGACTATATCCCACAGTGCCTTCAGTGAGGACCAGGGAGAATGCAATAATCAGTGAAGACCTCATTGTGCTGTGTGATTACTGGGGTATTCAGGAGAGGGATAAGGTCTGAAAAATTAGGATAGATGCCATCATGGATCTCATATCCCAGCTTTGTGGAGCACTGACCGAATGCCAGGTTAATGACTGGCTGCTGGATGACCAGGGATGCTGCTGTCAACGTAATTTTTTTTCTCTTCCTACCCTGGCTTTACATTCTCTTTCCTGGACCAGAAGGTGGGTACCCCACTTCTCCAATGAGGGGGAGTAAATTATAAATATAAATTTATATTTGGTACAAGTGCAAATAGGTATTTTGTAAATTAATCAGTCAAAATACACATATGAAACTGAGAGCTAAAAATTTATAAAATTAGTTATATTTGCTGACACCCTTCAAAGGCATTCTCCACAATTTCAAGAAACTAAACATGTGAAGAAACACACATTGTGGAAGGCACCAAACATCATCAGAAATGGTGTAGGTGTCCTTTAGGAGACCAGGCTGCAGGCAAAGTATTGGCTGCAATTCCAGGGAAGTCTTTTATTCTCCCCTTCCTAACATCATAGCACTGGGCTTTCTCCAGTACCATGAGACAACAAAATGATGGGTATGTGTTTTAGGCTGTGTGTAGATAAAGCCCACAGTAGAAACACCATGTATTTTGAGTATTTTTTTTTTATTTCCTCTCTTCCCATACTAAAAAAAAAATCAAATATCAGTATGACTTAGAAAAGAATAGTAAAATCCATGCAAAGAAAAGAGGCCCATGCTTATTTAATGGGATTTTCTCTCTAAGAAAAATAAACATGGAAGATTTTATTTGGAGATTTATAAAGTGCTGGTGCATAAACTGGAGGCTTGTATGGAAATAGCAGTCTGTTTGGCACAAGTACTAATAGACATTTTGAAAATTAATCAGCCAAAATAGATATATCAAACTGAGAGCTAAAAATGTTTATATGCATAATGGCTCTTGGGGTTAGACATCTGCATATTAGTGAAAACTAAAAATGAGGCTGAATCAACTAGAGATACACATCAGCCATTAAACAAAGTTTTAACTGGAATTTTCAATACAACCATAAGAAAAGTGTACAAGGCAATGTGGGCCAGATTCTGCCTTCAGTTCTATCTGTGCAATTCCATTAGTTAAAGGAGAATTTATTCTCCTGGTTTCTAAAGAAGCAAGTAGGAAAATATTTTAATCCAACATGCTTGTGTTTCTACAGGATCCCCTTCAATACTAGATCGTGAAATACTCGGGACTATGACACTTCCAATTGTTTTTTTCAGGTAGTTATTAGCTCTGTAGACCTTTCAAATACACTGGAAATGCCAGTTGGTGAGAAGTAATATTGTGAGGATGTTTTTGGTGGCAATCAGTAAAGTGAAGTTACAGCAAGAGAAGAATCTATGGGGAGTCTGTAGCCAGTGAACCCATGAGCAGCTCCTTTGGGTTTGGTAGGCAAGGACCTTATGCTTTTGAATTTTACATTGTGCTTGTGCCGAAGGGAGTGCTTTGCACTGTGACAAATTTGGCAAAATAGTTGTTTACATATGGATCAGTGGGCCCAAACTTTGAGAATGAGGAATGTAAAACCTTTATTAACTTATTGTTTCAGAAACCTAAATCAGTGGCTATATAGTTGTATGATGAAGCCTTCAGCTCTTCTGCTGAAGAATACCTGTGACAGCCATATACAAGAAGTATAAACACACAGAAAGTCACTAGTTAATGTTTACTGAGATGAAATCTTCCTTGTTGCTAATAATATTAATATATATTTACGTAATATTAATTAATAATCATTGTGGCAGTAACATGATGGGCAACCTTTGTATGGCAAATTTAATGTCTATTGCTTAGAAAGGAACTAATAAATTTTTAAAATAAATTCGAAACAGCCTTTTCTGGTTAAGTCCAACGGGGGCTGTCCCTGAGAGGAATGGGATTTGTCAGCTAGAGGTTCTTGTCCTGAAATGGTGGGGGCATGCACTGTTATATCATAAGAGTAGACCCACAGAGCCTTGGAAAGTGCAAAATTCCCCTTTGAACCACAAATTACACAAAAATCTCTGGGTATTGAATTTCATTGCTTGCTTCCAGCTTAAATTAACCAGGACAAAGTTGGACAGAATTTGCAAAACTTTGAAGTTAATTTTGGACCAGTTTAATGTGAACTTGGATTAGATTAAGTTTTAAAAGGAAGCTGTGTAAAACACAGCATTTTTCACTGAATCAATTAAAGGAAATACAGTGGAGCAATATACAGAAAAATGTCATCCAAGCACTGTGCCTAAATTTCCTCATCCTTCTTGTTCAGACAGTAGTATACAATAAATTTTGTATTTATCTGTGTGAAAGAAGCCAAAACCAGAACCACTGTATTTCTCTGTGCTTTGGGGAAAAAAAAAAAGGGTATCTCTTACTTGCCTTTAATTTGTCATTTGGATGGGAAGATGCTTGAGGGGTGGGAGGCAGAAGGACTCACTACACCAAAGAGTTAGTGCGGGCAAAAAGCACTCGGGCACTGAAAAGGAGGAGTGCCACAAAGTCTCATGAAAGTCAATGACAGTGGTGTGTGTCTTCTGCTGCTCAGTAGCAATACCTCCGGTTAAAAAAGGCTGTGAGATGGGGCTGGCTTTTGTGTCAGGAAAATTTTCACTGTGGCTTGAGGTCTATTTCCTTTCAAGGAATTTTGTGCATCATGAAGGATAGTTTCTAATGCTTGATTTAGCCTCTGTGCTTTCTATTCCCGTGATGCTGGAAGGATTACAGTCTTTTTTTTGCACTATAAAGGTGAGGTGTTTGTGTTCCTCTGTGTGGGCAGCTGGGAATGTGAGTGAATGGGTGAGATTCATCAGTAGCATCAAAACACACCCATTTCTTTTAGAACATTGAAAAATTCATAAGCCAAAAAAAACCCCCAAATTAGAGGAAAATCTTTGTTATTCTGCTTTCTTCATCTTTTCAAAGTGAGATTAAAAACAACATTGAGAAAACCATTGCTTGTCTTTTGCAAACAGGTTAAGTATCAAGGCTATTTAGGCAAAGAGAATAGCAATTGGGTATCGTGGCAATTGGTGGTGTTTCAAAGGTTTTTAGAGTATGAAATAAAACATTCATCTTTGTCAAATATAACCTCACATATTTCAGTCCCAGGCCCAATTTAAACATACATCATACTTTGGTGAACTTTAACATGGTCATTTTTTTATTGAGTGATTTACAGTGGTTTCTTTTATCTTAAAAAAGACATAAAAGCATAGAAAAAAATGTTTTAGGCAACTTTGTGTAGCTGCTTGCTTAGCAATGACCCTC